ACCTGTCATCTAGACAAGTTAACTAAGAAGTAATAACAAGAGAACTCATTTTGATCATTTTGATTGTAAATCAAATTGATACTAGCAAAAAATGCCAACGTCAATGTTCTACCTTGTAGGGTAAAGAACACTTCATGGAATGTCAGCTATTTTTTTCATCAGTGATATACTCCTAAGGGGGAGGGAATTAGATCGGGTTTTCACAAAATTGGCTTTGTTGGCCAGGTTAAAGTTTTTCCTGCAGTCCTTTCTTTTGAGGATTAAGGCAAGGCCAAGGAGTCTGATGCAATCAGATCCAAAACATTAATACGCCCCCTAAGAAAATGTCTTCTTTCTGTTAGGTCTCCAATCATTATTGAAAGGAAAAAAAAAAAAAAAACCAAACATTGTTAAGAAGTAGTTTAGGCTTTGGGTTAGAGGTCCTTCATTCTGGAAACAGTAGTGTTTATCTGATTTCTGCATTTCCCTTTACCTACTTGACTCTGCAAATCAATTATCAGCCTCGTTTATCCATCAGCTAGTGAGAGAATTATTTGTTCTTAGAAAAGCTAAGCCTCTAAATGAGGAGCAAAAGGAAACACTTATGGCCTAGGAATTTTTCAAAAAGATTTATTTTTTATTTTTTTATTGGAAAGTCAGATTTACAGAGAGAAGGAGAGAGAAGAAAGTTCTATCCACTGGTTCACTTCCCAAGTGGTTGCAGCAGCTGGAGCTGAGCTGATCCGAAGCTGGGAGCCAGAAACCAGGGGCTTATTCCAGGTTTCCCATGCAGGTGCAGGTTCCCAAGTCTTTGGGCCATCTTCTGCTGCTTCCCAGGCCAAAAATAGGGAGCTGGATGGGAAGTAGAGCAACTGGAACACAAACTGGGACCCATATGGAATCCCGGCCCATGCAAGGCAAGGACTTAATCCACCAGGCTATCATGACAGGCCTAAACATTTTTAGGGTTTAATGTAAAGAATTGTGATTAGACCATGTTTTACATCAGCAACAAGTGACCCGTTCATGCTTCTCTGAAAAATTGTCTGAAAGTGAGCAGCCCTGGTTTGTTGTATTCTAGATGTGTCTCAGTGCCCTGGAGCGGCACGTTGGCAGGTGTTCAATCAACACTAAGGTAGGAAAATAATGACAACCTGTCATAATTTTGTTCTTGTTGCCAAAGGAAGGCCACAGAAATGGACAGTACACCCAAGCTGGTCATTGTTCAGTTTTTGGCTTGGAACAAATTCAGACTAGGCAGTGTCACAGGATAGTGCCAAGCAAAGGTTAAAATCCAGATGGAGCTATTTATATCAAAACTAACTCAATAAGAGACTGTTGCTCTCCTATCAATTAAAAAAAAAAGCAGTATTTTGAAATATTTTTCCTGCTCCTAAAAGATTTCTCTAATGTGGAAAACAGATGGGCATCATAGTTTGACACAAAACAACAGCAATGTTTTTGCATGTAAAATAGATGATCAGCAATGAGATCACAGCAATCCCTCGGTTTAAAATCTTGCAAGGCCTTCTCATTACACCTGGGGCAAAATTGAAACTTGCTAGGGCCTACGATTTTATATGCTCATTGTTGAAAACTTCCCACCCCGCTCTCTTATATTATATGAACTTGTTAACTGAGCCCTTATAAAATTGAATGATTTTTGGTTGTTCCTTGAGTATCCGTTTTTTTTTTTTTTTTTTTTTTTTTCCTATTGGAAAGGCAGGTCAGATTTACAGAGAGACAGAAAGATCTTTCATTTGCTGGTCTCCCATGCCTTTGCAGGGTCGCAAGGACTGGGGCCATCTTCCGCTGCTTTCTCAGGCCAGCAGGGATCTGGATGAGGAGTGGAACAGCCAGAACATCCAGTGCTTTGTCCTTGGAAAAAGCAGTAATTCCTATTCTCATGCTAACATGGATCAGTTCAGACAGATTTCGACCAGGTAGGTGATTTTTCTGCTTTCTGAGGTATTGACTAAAGTCATGGGATGAGATTCTGCTACACTGGGATGGGAGTGCACGACCGCTGTGTTTCCATGCTTGGATTGTGAAGGAGACTTCTGGACTGGGCTGGTCCTCCCCTGCTTTTCTCGGTAACTCAGAATTTCAAGAGGGCAGGGTAGCAGTGGCTGGCCTCACAGCCTGGGTATGGAACTGGCCTCCCTTCTCTCATCTTATGTCAGCCACAGGCCAGTCCAGGCTCAAAGGAAGAATGTGAAAGTGGATGCAGTCGTGTGCAATTTCTGACACAGAGCAGTTTCAAGTAAATAAGGGGATACTCTTGCAGGAAGACAATCCAACAAGTTCAGTTCAATATCTTCCCGGAAGTCACAGGTTTCCTACTAAAATCTTCTTAAATCCAAGGGGTGGGGGAGGGCTTCAGAGTGCTAATATATACATATACACACACTCATATATGTATATATAGATAAAATGTAAAAGTATGCAAACTTTAAATAGGTGTCTTTAATTCCTCATTTATTGACAGCACAGCAAACTTTGGAAATGGCCTCAAACACCCTACAACTTCAAGCCCACCCTCCCCAAAAAGCTTTTGTGTAGTATGTCTGGTATGTGCATTTTGCTGGGGCGCGGACTCCATGGTTTGTATTGATTTTTGCAAAGTATCTAATGCCTCACCTTCGCTGAACCAAACACTTCACTAGGCAAAACTGTGGAGTAGATAAGGCTGTTTTCGTAATTCTCCCTTTAGAACATCTAGCGTGGATACTAATGGTCGTTACTGCCAGCTTAGAAGCAAAGCAGTAACACCTGCTTGTGTGCCTGAGGCAGTTCCGTAGCAAGTGGCTTTCCTGATTTTATGTTGGGGAAACCGAGGAACAGGATCTTCCCTAGGGTCTCAGAGCTGGCACCCGGTGGGGCCAGGTTTTTAGCAAACTGGTGTCAGGGGGCCCCCTGCCGTGAGATGCGGTTCCTGCGTCAGAGTGTGGGTGTCTTGGAAATGAAATGACAGGGCAGAGCTGTACAATGGGCACTCCTGATGCTCAGCTTCGTTGAATTCCGCAAGGCTTTGCTGGCAGTCATACTGACAGCACCCAGGGAATGAGCAGGAGGAGGTCAGGGCTGGAGAAGGCTGGAGAGCCTGTTTCTCCCTAAACCCTTCATACTCTTAAAGTTGTAAGCAAATACAGCATTTCACGCCACAATTCAGGCGCCTCGGCCTCAAGCTGTTTTGTTTTAGAGATTTATTTAAAGGAGGGAAAGGAAAGACAGAGGGCCATCTTCCACCCACTGGTTCACTGGGCGTTAAGCCAGCCAGCCCGTCAGGAGCACACGGTCTCCACGAGGCTGCCTGCGGTCCTACTACTTGGGCCACCAGGGGCCGCTTTTCCGGGTGCATTACAAGGGAGTGTTAAGTAGGTGCGTGAGATCGGAACTGGAGCAGCCGGTGTGCTTGAACCCCAAGCCTGCTCTGTTGAGGGCTTGTAGCTGTGGGACTCAGGTTTGGGAATTAGGAAGGCCAGAAGGCCAGATGGCCAGGACCGCAGTTTCCTAACTTGTTTGGGTCCAATTTGTGCTCATCCAGAAACTAGATGTGTACTAATTATGTAAAGATGGCCCTTTAGCCTGCGTCTTTCCCACGGCGGGTATCCTCTTATCAGCAGAGGAGGCAAATCAAGTGGGTTAAACATTAAAAAAATGCACATCAGGGTAGGTCAAAACTTTTGGAAAGCTCCTGTAGGGCGGTGTCCCCCCCACCACATGTCACAGGGAGGGACCCGGGTATCCCGCCTTCCGAAGAAGCCAATTCGCAAGGCACCACGTGGGCGCCCCGGACACGACACCCCTCCTCCGCAGTCCCGAAGTTCCCCGCGAAGGCGTCTCCCCTTCCCGGGCCCCTCGACCTCCGGGGCGGCACCTGGGCCCACGTCGCACCTCCCGCCTCCGGGCGGAGCCGACGAGGCGGGGGAGGCGCGCGCCTGACGTCATCTCCGCGCGCAGCTGCCTGCCGCCCCTTGCACTTCGCGGGAGAAGTTGTTGGCGCGCATGGATCCCGAGTCCCGATAACGGATTCCCCCGTCGGCCCGCCCGCCCACCCGCCCGCCGGCGCCTCAGCCCTGGGGTGGCGATGGTGAGCGCCTTGAGGGGAAGTCGTGCGGCCCGCACGACTTGGAGGGGGGAGGGCTTTGCAGGCCGAGCGTGGACGAGGCATTCGTGGTATGCAGAGTGGGGGAGGCCGGCGGTGAGTGGCTCCCGAGGTGCAAGAAGGGGGTCCCCCCCACAACCCCGGTCGCGGGGCGCACGATTTGGCCCAGCCTGCGGGCTGCAGCCGGGAGAGCTGGCGCTCGGGAGTTGGATGCAACGCGGCACGTCCCTGTTCCCCCATCCCCCTCTCCTTCTGAGGAAAGGGAGGCAGGAAGAAGTCATGGTGGTGTGTTGGGAGCGCAGCTGAAAAGTTTTATTCCTGTTGAGCCTCGCCCAGCGCCTAAGTGTCCGTCCTCCCTCAGGAACTGATTTCAAGCTTTGGGTCACGAGGCTGGAGGCTGCAACAGTGTTTCTTAGGAGTCAGTTGTGTCCGGCCTTGTTGATCAGATTCCCTCTCCCTCCGACCCGGGAAGGGGGGACGTCTTTTTCCCCAGTTCAGTCTTTTGGAGACCCGAGGGCGTGGTAAAGAAGATATTTTATTTAGAGGGGCTCCCAAGATAGGCAGAGGGTTCCCGCGGTGGGTTTACCAGAAAACAAATTCCCAGGGAGGCGAATCAGGTGATCTGTTTGACAGCTGTCATCCCTTATCTGCTGCTGAGAGATCCTGCGAGGACTTCCCACGGCCTCAGTGCGGTATTCCTTACAGGCGGCCAAACACCTTGACAGTGAAATCGTTATGCAGCTGGCATCAGACATTGATGGTGGCAAGGAGTAAGTTAGCTGTTCGAGGTTTTTTTGTTTTTAAATAATTTGAAAGACACGATGCTCTATTAAGCCAGAAGTCAGTAGCTAACTATCCTTCTTTTGTTTTCCAACCTGTCTGCGTGGCAGCATTCTGGAGGGAGAAATGAGTGGGAAACCTTGCAGCTTTTTGTATTTCTTCTCAAAAAATGGTCAAATAATGATGACGTACGTACACATCCTGTCCATGGAGTTCCGGTTGGTGTGAGTCGGTTGCTTTGCATACCCTTCCAGCGCCCACCAATAGGATTTACAGCTGGTAGAGGCACTTTTTTTTTTTACTTTACCGAGTTTGTCGGTTATGCTCCTAGCCTAGGTGTTTCTGAGTATGGCACTGTACTGTCTGTAAAATGGTCGCTGGCCTGTTTCCGAGTTCAAGTTGGTGAGATGTGGCATCCTGAAAGGGAAGAGGAGGTGGGTGATGCTTGGATTTCATAGTTCCTATTACTGTTGTATGATGGTTTAATAGTTACGTAGTCCCGGGCAGGTAAATGGCTCACCTGTGATCTCTTTAAGCCTGTTTTCTTACCGGCAAAGGAAAGGTAAATGATTATAGCCTTAAAGGATTGTTTGGAGAGTTACATAGGATTTGAGGAACATGGTTGGCAATGAAGGTGAGCAGTGTTGTGAATTTTCAACTTTTAGCCTGTCAGATACTATTAATTTTAGTTCTTTCTGCTTTCTGGAGTACACAAAAAGGAGTCTGCAAAAAAAAAAATCAGGTCAAATGGGTCACTATCACTACTTGGGAACGAGCAAAGGTTCAAAGTTAACAAGAACTTTGGATTAAATTGATATTTAATTTAGCCCTGCAGTCTCAAGTGCAAAAATTAGCAAATAACTGAAATTCTATTCAACAAGGTTTTTGTTTAAACACCTGTGTCCACGGTTTGTTATAGGACAGTGATTGTTAATTGTCTGGGCCACAGTTCCTTTGATGAATGTGGTGAGTGGCATGCAAATTCTTTACCCAGAGGAATACCCGCAGATATTTGCACACTGTTTTAGGGGATTCACCTGTCTTCTGGAGCCCAATGGTAGATGAAAGACGAACAGCTGTCTCCCTGGGAACTTCACGCTGTTTTTCAAATTTTTTCCAGTGCAAAGTTATTTGGAAGGGAATAAAATGGTATATCCACCCAGTGGAGTACACTGCGGCTGTTAGAAACCTGAGGAAAGTGAGCGCTGTGATACGCACCAGTGATGAAACCTGGCCCGTCTGGGAAGCGCCACAAGGCACGCGCCGCTAGCGTCTGTCACCTCCAGATACGGGACATGTGTGTTTGAGAGGGGAGCAAGGGAGACATTTGCGTCTGTGAAAAAATTTTGTGAAAGATTTATGTATTTCACGTGAGTAGTCAGAGTTATGAAGAGAGAGATATCAATCTTCCAGAGTTTCACTCCCAAAATGGCTAGAATTGGAGCTGGGAGGATCCAAAGTTGGGAGCCCTGAGCTTCTTCCTAATCTCCCATGTGGGCTCAGGTCTAAGAACCTGGGCCATCCTACACTGCTCTCCCAGGCCATAACCATAAAGCTGGATTAGGAAGTAGAGCAGCTGGGACACAAGCTGGTGCCCATTTGGGACTCTGGTGCCAGCAGGTAGAAGATTAGCCTGTTATGCCGCCACACTATCCCAGTGTGCCCCTCTTCCTCCTTCCCCCTGCTGTGGGATTTTGAACCATTATTGGGGTGGACGATTGGTACAACACATAAGGTGCCACATGAGTTGCCTACAACCCATATTGGAATTCCTGAATCTAACTCTTAACTACAGTTCCAGCGTCCTGCTGATGCCAACCTGGAAGGTACAGATGAGGGCTTGAGTAGTTGGGCCCAGCAGCCACATTAGAGATGCTGACTGAGTTGCTGGCTCCTGGCTTCAGCCTGGCCCAGCCCCAACAGTTGTAGGTATTGAGAGTGTGAACCAACTAATGGACACTTTCTCTCCATCTCTTTCTCGCTGCCTTTCAAATAAAAAAAAAAAAAAGTAAAGAATACATTAACTATTAAAGGAGTGGAAATAAAAACAAAAGGAATTAAAAAGCCATGTAAACAGTGCAAATTGCTGTGATATTTGCTCAGAATGTCAAAACCTGAGAAATGTGCATTCTGAATAAGTTATAGTGAAGTTGCTGATATAGTTACTGAAAGTGTGTGTAAGATTGTGTTAAATCTATACTAAAGAGTCAGCCTTTTTCTTTAAAGTTTTACTTATTTGATTAGGAAGGCAGATTTACAGAAAAGAGGATACAGAAAGATCTGTCCACTGGTTCGCACCTCAGATGGCTACAACGGCATGAGCCGATCCGATCCAAAGCCAAGAGCTAGGAGTTTCTTCCGGAGTCTCAAAAGGGGGTGCAGAGTCCCCAGGACTTAGGCCATCCTCTGCTGCTTTCCCAGGCCACAAACAGGGAGCGGATGGCAAGTGGAGCAGCTGGCACACGAACCAGTACACATGTGGGGTGCTGGCCCTTACAGGAGGAAGACTAGCTTGTTGAGTGATTGCACCAGCTCCAAGAGATAGCCTTTTGAACCACGATCATGCCAGTCTAAACACAGAATTTGAGGGACTTTATTGCTCTGCTGCATGAGGCATGCTTCTCACCACGGTTTCCTGTGTAAAATGCTCCCCTGCGAACAGCACTGTGCCCTGGTGGACGCCTTCAGACATTTTACATGTAACAGTCTGTAAAATAGTTTTATTTTCTGTTAAATTTTTAATTTTCTTAACTAAATTATATATATATATATATATTTTAAAGATTTATTTTTATTATTTTTCCATTGGAAAGGTGGATATACACAGAGAAGAGACAGAGAGGAAGATCTTCCGTCCGATGATTCACTCCCCAAGTGAGCACAACGGGCCCATACTATGCCGATCCGAAGCCAGGAGCCTCTTCCGGGTCTCCCACGCGGGTGCAGGGTCCCAAAGCCTTGGGCCGTCCTCGACTGCTTTCTCGGGCCACAGGCAGGGAGCTGGAAGGGAAGCGGGGCTGCCGGGATTAGAACCGGCACCCATATGGGATCCCGGGCGTGCAAGGCGAGGACCTTAACCACTGTGCCACCGCGCCGGGCCCAATTTTATATATTTTTTATTTTTTATTGTATTTATTTATTTTTTTTAAGATTTATTTTTATTATTTTTTATTGGAAAGGCGGATATACAGAGAGGAGATACAGAGAGGAAGATCTTCCATCTGATGATTCACTCCCCAAGTGAGCGCAACGGCCGGTGCTATGCCGATCCGAAGCCAGGAGCCTCTTCCGGGTCTCCCACGCGGGTGCAGGGTCCCAAAGCTTTGGGCCGTCCTCGACTGCTTTCCCAGGCCACAGGCAGGGAGCTGGAAGGGAAGCGGGGCTGCCGGGATTAGAACCGGCGCCCATATGGGATCCCGGGCGTGCAAAGCGAGGACCTTAACCATTGTGCCACCGCGCCGGGCCCAATTTTATATATATATATATATATTTTTTTAAAGATTTATTTTTATATATTTTTTAAAGATTTACTTTTTTTACTTGAAAGTCAGAGTTAGACACACACACACACACACACACACACACACACACAGAGATCTTCATCCTCTGGTTCACTTCCTACATTGCCATGATGGCCAGTCTCCCATGTGGGTACAGGGTCATCTTCCATTGCTTTCCCAGGCCATTAGCAGGGAGCTGGATTGGAAGTGGGGAGCAACCAGTGTGAGATGCTGGTGCTGCAGGCAAAAGATTAGCCTGTTATGTTACCACACTGGCCCCTTAACTAAAACTTCTTGCTACAAATTTTGCAAAGTTGGGCCTGGCGCGGTGGCACAGTGGTTAAGGTCCTCGCCTTGCACGCCCGGGATCCCATATGGGCGCCGGTTCTAATCCCGGCAGCCCCGCTTCCCTTCCAGCTCCCTGCCTGTGGCCTGGGAAAGCAGTCGAGGACGGCCCAAAGCTTTGGGACCCTGCATCCACGTGGGAGACCCGGAAGAGGCTCCTGGCTTCGGATCGGCATAGTATGGGCCCGTTGCGGCTCACTTGGGGAGTGAATCATCGGACGCAGGATTTTCCTCTCTGTCTCTCCTCTCTGTATATCCGCCTTTCCAATGAAAAAATAATAAAAATAAATCTTTAAAAAAAAAGAAGAAAGAAATCTTTAAAAAAAAATTTTGCAAAGTTAAATACAAGTGCCAAGAATAGATATCTTTTCCCTCATCTTAGGAAAAGAGCCCCCTCTAGCTTGCTCTCGATGCATACTTTGGCATTATTTTATTAGTATTTTTTAAGAAGATTTATATATTAGAAAGGGTTAAAGACAGACACAGATACCTTCTCTCTACTGGTTTCACTGCCACATAGCTACAGTGGCCAGGGCTGGGCCAGCTGACGCCAAGAGCTTTATCTGTGTGTCTTTCTTGGGTGCTAAGACCAAACATTTGGGCCATCTTGCTGCTTTCTCCAAGGCACATTTAGCAGAAACCTGGATCAAAAGTGGAGCAGCTGGGGCGTGAGCCAGCATCCACATGGGATGTTAGCATTATAGGAGGTGCCTTTACCCACTATGTCACAATTCTGGCCCCTATTCTTTGGTTTTTAGATTTATTTACTGGGGCTGACACTGTGTTACAGAGAGTTAAACAGCCACCTGGTACACCAGCATCCTATATGAGCAGCATTTGGAGTCGTGGCCTCCCTGCTTTTCCATAGGAGGCAGGGGTCCAAGTACTTGGATTATTTTCTGCTGCTTTCCCAGCATTAACTGGGAGCTGGGTTGGAGCCAGGACAGCATGGGCTTAAACCAGAAATCCAGTATGGAATGAGGTGACTTAACCTGTTGTACCATAATATTGTCCCCAAGGCCTCAATATAATTTTAAGTAAATACTTAAAAATTGTCTTTCTGTGCTGCTACCAGTGTGTTGTGGTATATTTTAGGTATGTTGTTTTGCTTTTTTTGTATGTGTGATTTTAAAAAATAGTTATTTATTTGAAAGGCAGAGGCACAGAGATAGGGGAGACGAGAGGGAGAGAAATCTCCCAAACACTGGTTCACTCCCCAGGTGCCTGTAGCAGCTGGAAGCCCACCAGGCTGAAGCTAGGAGCACCCCACAGCAGCAGGGACTCACCTGCGCCAGGTCTGCTGCAGCCCAGGTGTTTTACATCATTGTGACCGCTCATTTCTTTGTGGATTTAGGAGGATTTATTTCAAAAATAGTTTTTGTTTATCTTTAAAAAATGTTTGCTTTATCTATTTTTGACTATTTGAAAAGCGAAACACCAGAGGGTGAGAGAGATCTTTCATCTGGGGGTTTATTCCCTAAACAGCTGTAGTAGCCGGAGCTGGGCCAGGCTTAAGCCAGGATTCAGCCTGGTATCCTGGCCCTTGAGCTGCCACCTGCTGCTTCCCAGGATGCGTTAGTAGGAAGCTT